AGGAATGCAAATCTGACAGGTTGGGAGCACTGTGGAGCCGGGAGCCCATCCCTCGAGGAGAAAGTTCAGGTGTCGAGGAACCTGGAGGGCCCAAACAGAGCGACAAACCACATCGTTTTCTGATTCTAACACAAAAAGCCAGCCTGATCCCCGGATCCACTGCTAAAACATCTACAGATCAAAACCTTCAGTGCATGGCTAAGGATGGCACTCTCATCAGCACCAGAACCGAACCTGCTAGGCCTGATTGGGCTTTGACTCTACAGGAGGAAGAGACAGGCACAACAGGGGCACAGAAATGTAGCTCTTTTCCTTCGTTGTTGCAGCCCTTAGAAAGAAAGGGACCCCGACTGTCAGAGTTCAGCAGCAAGGAAATTACACATCAAGAGGGCCATTTGGCAGAGGGGGAGTTGGGGATTTTGAGATCCTTTTCCTTCATTCAATCCACTGACTTCAAAGTCACAAATCTGAGTTTTTGTGACGCAAAGTCTGTCAGTACTGGAAGAGGCTGGCTGACTCCTACCAGCACACAGAAATCCTGGCTGGCCAAGCATCAAGAGAAGCTGCTGAAGGACCATACCCAACCCTGAATGTCCTGAGACTATGGTTCTGGCCTTATCCATAGGAATAATGAAGGAAGACAATGACCAACGCACCGGCAACAGGAACCCGGCTTCTCACTTCTGCTCCAAGAGAAGAGGGGATAACAGTCTGTCTGGGCTGCTCTGGGATTGTTCCAACTTTGAAGGAACACAATAAAAAAAAGGTTATTCAGTACTAAGTTTCCTTAGGCATCACCACCACTATGCATCATCTGTTTTATGGAAAGATGCTAGTTATCTCTCCCATCTTCTCAGCCCTAGCTGCGTAGTGAAAAGATTGACAACTCCTGTTAAAGGAGGAAAAAAAGCTTTATCTGGTATTAGTTTAGCCAGTTTCAGTTCGACTTTGCAGTGAGATTAATTCAGAGGAATAGAATATGAATATTCTGCATTTCCCCATCAGCAGAGAGTAATAAATACAGGATCAGAGACACTAGGTATAAAGAATAGCTAGTTACGTCACAGTCTGTTCTTTTATAGAAAACTGCAAATCACATCAGTTGCACGCTGGGTTTTTTCTTTATCCCTCTTCCACTTGAATTGCATCTGGATTCCACAGTAGCATCTGGATCAGGCTACCAGATATTCAGACAACTGCTTTTTAGTTTGAACAGTGAAGTTCAAGCCCCTTCAAAGCTGGTCAGAATTTTGCTCTGACAGCAATTGACTTACGTTTTTTGTCACCCCATCCTGAGCCAGTAAAAAGACACTTTGCACTCACAGAAGTCCTCTTCAGAGGGCAGCAAAATGTTTGATGCAGACACCAAAACAAAGCTTGCCTCTCCTGGGGCTAATAGGTATTTTACTTTCCATTTTGCTGAGGCCAAAGCACTTGTCAAGTAATCTACTGAGAAGAGCCACGGAGAACACAACAATCTGAATTCCCTATTACCTGGCAGCTACAGCCGGTCAGAACCTCCAGCTTTACAGGAAAGAGACATGTAATTTTATCAGGGCAGAAACATGCCAGTTGACATCTTACCTTGCGGTGATGGCATAAACGGCTTGGCACCACCAAAGGAGAGCTTTCTAGAGCTGGGCACAGATCCATGCTCTCCAGGATAAGGAGGGGAAGCACCAGTTTTAGGAAAACCAAGCGGACTTGTACTGCTAGACCTCCGAACCGTACCAGACCTTGTAGGAAACAACAGCAGCACACACGTTACTCCAGATGCCAGTATAGAAGAGTAAGGAGAACAGTTATCACCAGACACATATACACACAGCTACTTCCACAGAAGCAGAGCCTCACAACTGTTTATCCTGGATCAAAATCCCACTGTTCTAGGACTACAACAATACAGATTAAGATGATTATCTTTGCTCTCAAGAGTTTCAATCAAAACAAAATTTTGCAAAACAAGTGAAAAGAAAGAACGAGATTGCTTAACTGTAAGCAGGAAAGCCTGTCATTTTTCAGAAGTCACATTTAGATGCTTTCAAGATCTACATTAATCCTGAATGAGACAGAGTTTCTTATTTTGACATGTCCCAAGGTGTTTATTTTAGGCAGTGTCTTCAGAATGCCCTGAGAGGTCTTTGTTCAAGTGTCCCTCCCGTGCTGAGCCACTTGCTCTTTTGTCAGAGCAGCTGTTTAGGTAGAACGCTCTGTGCGTGCAGGTCGTACGATGCGGAGGTAAGCTGTGCCAAAGGCACTGCTCTGCCACACAGTTCTCACTCAAATCAGAAGCTGCAGAGCGAAACAGAACAGTGTGTGGCTGTCAGATCTGAAACACTTCAGTACTGCCCAGAGGAATTACTTTTGCGGCTGGACAGTCAGACTTGCCTGGGCTTCAAACTCCTTTAACTCCTCAGGAAGCCTCACCTTAGGGAGTTAAAATTAATTCCTACAGCCCACACACTCAGGAACCTCAAGTACTACTCAGCTGCTAAAACGAAACAAAAGAGAAAACTAGACTAGCGGGAAAGTGAGTACAGCCATGCTATCACTCTGGAGAGAGATGAGATTATTGTATATTAATTAATTATTTATCAATATTTTAATGTTTTTACCACTTATTAAGAACACACAACTTAAACTCTATTTACCGAAAAGCCATTCTGCCTCTGCAGGCTCCTCCACCAAGATTCCCATTAAGACTCCTCTATATAAGAAACCAGTCTTATAACAAAACACCAAGTCCTTTGTTCTAGTCTCAACTTGGAAACATTTTTTCCCTTGTTAAAATAATATTAGTCTCAGCCAGTAGGAGGTTTTCTGGACACGAATCAGAGAATATGCTGAAAAAAAACGCTGTGCTCAAGCCACTGGAAGATGCTGACGCCAAGGTATCCTGCCTCCTCTGCCAGTGACACTGCATTAAGCTGTCCATACGTATCTGAACCAAAGGAACTAAGGCATATGGGTGTCAGCAGTGCAAGCAGGGCTACCCAGGAACAGCAAAGTCTTCCTGATGAAGTGTCAGTACATCTACTCAACACCACTACTATGTGTATGTTTTACTTTATGTCACATTTCAGAAAATAAATAAATAAATGATAACAAAAAAATCCATTTCAGTAGTTGAGAAATAAGAATCTGATCTGCTACTCCCCCTCCTTTTCACTATATTACAACATTTCTCAGCCAAGCCAATCCATGCTATATTCAGATGCTTGGAGAAAAGGAAATCCTTTAAAATTTTAACCTAAAAATCACTTCTCTTCAGGTTGCTCCAGATTCAGAGGCCTAACACTCATCAAGTGCCTGGCCCTGAAGCAAAATGAATACACAACACCTGGCAAGGTGAAAAGATACCTACATGTTCAGTGGCAGAAAGTACTGCTTGCCCAAGTTTTTAACTCTCCAGAATATAAGCCATCTAGAAGGCTGAATATTATCTATCAGGAACTTGCAGAAAAAAAGACCAGCTGACTGCTGCTGCTGAAAGATATGGAATGTCAAATGCCACCCTAAGAGACATGGGATAAGCAAGCAAGCAGATGAGCTGGACAGGTGATGTGGCCAAAAGTACGCACACATAATTACCACCTCAACAAGCAACATATCTATCCACAAATAAGCTACGTTACACAGCCATACACCAGCCAGTCAGATGACAGTGGTCGATTTTTCAGAAACAAGAGTGTACACCAAGGTTTGTAGTCAAATGACTTGGCAAACATGATGAGGCACCTGGCTGTAATGGCCTATTTGATATACCTGATGGAAAAGCAGAATCACGTACTAAATGCTTGATGTTTTCTCCTTCCACTCCTGAAGGGTGTCTACTGAATTTGCTGATTAGAGGAAGTGATGGTGAGAGATAAATATGGCTTCCTGGGGCAGAGAGAAAACATGACGCCAGAGATTTTGAGAAGATGCTAAAAGCAGAGCATGAATCATCTGATTGCGTCCATTCCTCGAGTTCCTCTGCAGGGACGATGCTAATCTCATCATTACACAGTGGTGACTAAAAGGAGCAAAACATGACAGTTTGATCCCTGACTGGTAGCTGCAGGCTGTGAACCTGAACTCAGTAGCCTGTCACCAGGTTCGGGGTAGGCATGGTGTGCCTAGGTGCATCCTCTGCACCTTCTCCAAAGCTCTCACTTTATACATCATACGGATAACCAGGACTCTTCTGTGAGTTCCAACGCTAACAAGGTCCACAAGTTTTGCTGTAGAAAATACAAGGCACGTAGGAAACAGGAAGGAGCTTACCACAAAACCTGCCACACACTCAAAGAAGTGAACATAAAATAGTATTAAAGTAACACTGGCACAAAACAATCTCTTTGTTGATCCCTGATTAATATCAACATATCGTACCTCTCCTTCTGGGTCCACTTTGAATAAGCCTTATCCTGAATTAGGCTGGCTGAAGCCCAAACTCAGGTTGACACAGTTATTACCCTACTTCTGAAACCTAAACTTTAACTAATCTGGATACCAAAGCAACTCATCCAAGAAAAGACATGACACCTCATAGACAGGTCTGCTTGAATGCCTCTGCTGTACAAAATCTTTAAGATCCTGTAAGAGTCTCCTTCCAACCAGTCTATGATGTGGGCTGCCACTGGCAACACAGATTTCAAACCTGTTAAGAGCTAGAAGTTATATGTGAGAAGAGACAGAAGCCCAGTGTGTCTTGGACGTACAAGGCACTACCACTGAACTCAGAAGGTCAGCTGTACGGCTGAAGGCTGGCATCCAGGTCTTCCTCATGGCCTTCAGAAAACATGCTCTGCCTCACAGGCACAAATTGCTCATGACTTAATCAGTCCTGGCTGCATAACCACATTAATATGCAACTCGTGTTAAGACATATCATCTACGGTGTGACTAGCTACAGGAACCAATTAAGGTAAAGTCAGGTAAAGTTTTTTGCAGCCCCATCCATTTTAGTTGTTTATCTCCACTTTTTCCTTTAATAAAGGCATCTGCCAGATGGATAGTTCTCTCTGCTTGGACACCCAACCTGTAACTGGCATGGGAAAAGCTGTCAGACTCCAAGGGGCTCAGCCTACGCTGAAAGATGACAGGAGCTTCTCACACACACACAGACAAAATTCACAGGATGTGGTGACAAATAGACCTCAACACCACTACAAAAATACCCCAAACTATGTTACCACGTAACACCAACACATCGGCTCCCTACAGCATGGGAAATTTGAGAGGCACAGAGAAAACCCCCTAGCAGTAACACAGGAGCCCCTGCTCCCAGCCCCAGCACTTACCGCGGAGAGGCGTATTGATTGGGAGACTGCAGGTTCTGCTCAATCCGCCGGTAGTTATGGATTTGTGTTGGGACTGGAATGGGCACAGAGTGTCCGTACTTGCTGCTAGAAAACTGACCTGGCCGGCTGTGGAAAGGAGACACAAAGAAAGGCTCTGTAAGGGGTGGCCTTCAGCCAGGTAATTGCAGGGTTTATCTCTGTAAAGCAGCCGAACGCAGGGAGCGTCCCCTTGGCTTCTCGTGGGCTGTGGGTTTATACTCGCAGTTCAAAGCCATATCAAAGGGAAGTGGCACCGCACATCTCCTGAAACCAGGCACCTTTCTTCCAGCACGATTCCCACCCACAGACTGAAGTTAAAACACACACCCAAGCACACCACTCCCTCCAGGAAAACAGGAGCCCTGCTATTTCAGGCCACAGCTGGCCTAGTTTCCAGCAGCTCAGATCCACAGCCAAAGGACACACCGCTGAACAGGAGCTAAGCATTCGTGGCTCACAAAGGACACTGGCAAGGATTTCGCTGCCAAGAGCTACTTGCGATTCATGCAGAGGCACTGCTGCAGCAATGGCAGCTCCACGAACATCTCAGCACGCCAGGAAGAGAATATAAATTTGTGGTGGATATCAGAGTATTTGCAAGGTAACTACAGGGTGGAGATGGCAACTCAGGAGAGAATAAATTTAGGGGACAGGAGCTGGTATCTAAGGTCAGTTAGAATATCACACACACAAAATGGGACAGGCCATTCTGCAAACTTCAGACTTCTTTCTAGTTCCATCCAAGCAGGTTAATCAGCTCATGTCTGACATCTGTTCCCCTGGGTGACAGCTTCCCCTGTTACTCTTAGCCTGTACACCATACTATACACAAACCATGATATACAAAACCCATGCAAACACCACATTTAACTAAGTAGCCACCTAAAGTCTTTTCCCAAAGGCTTCAGAGTTCTAGGATTAATTGCCATGGCAATGCTATTTACAACTGCCAACACCAATTGCAGGGATGATGCACAATTACAGAAAGATCTTATTGGTAATGAAGGCTTCTGCAGTCTTCCTTGTTGTCAGTCAAAGACACACGCCTGGGTCTGCCCCTGAGAAGCAGGAAGCGTCACTTATTCCATCTAACACTTGGAGTGGAAGCATTTCACATAAGATGAAAGAAGATATTTAAATTCAGCAAGAACATAAGTGTGTGCACAGGGGAAAAGAGAAGAGTCGGTGTCTTATCTGGAAAAGCATCCCTTTATCTGAACTTGTTTTTTGGGGAAGGTCAGGAGTACTCTGTGGTTTACAGTGACAGTGTTGAAAAAAGCTGATCTGCAGGGATGTGTCTGCAGATCTCCACACCGTGCACACAGAGATGCTCCTCCATGACAAGAGAGCCAAATAATTGAAAGAGATCTTTCATCAAGGCTGAAAGATCAAAACGTGATTCTGATTTCTTCGTTCTTCCCTCAATATGTCTACTAATTTTTTAAGTTCCGTATATGCCTCTTTATTTCTTCCAACAAGAGAACAGACTTTTAATCCTGTCTGTCTCTAAAATGCAGCATCCATAGTCTGATTTCAACATAAATTTCAAATGCTCTCTTCAATCTGGCCAAAATCCTTTGGGGAAAAGAAGTTCTCAGGTGAAATTATCTCCCCTCTCTCCAAGAGTTATAACAAGTCCTTATAGGAGCCAGGTTTCTCCACAAGGTGCAAGTTGCAAAAGAAAGCATCCAAATGAGGTGACATACACTAAACCTGCTAATTGGCCTCAAGCCTTAAAGACTACAATTGACCATAAGTTTGCAAAGATCAAGAGATAAAGCTGGAACAGGAAGTTTAATTACTTGGCAGTAACTAAAAGCTCTTTGAAAATGGTATTAAATCCACTGCTGTGGGATACATCCAAAGATGTACTTTTCTTTAGACTTATTAAGCATCTTCAACAAGGAAGTGTTTAAAATAAAAAAAAAAGCTCAACTGTCAGTGTATTTTAATTCTGCCTAGTTCTTACCCTCTTATTTAGTTAAGAATAAGGAAAGCTGCTCTAGACTGTACCGTGACATCCTGAGGAAAACCCAGTGCTGGCCACTCTAAAATAGCCTTTGCTTTCTGTCCTAGTTGGACTGCATCCAGCATTGCTTGCTAGCCTAGAGCACACATGAAAGCCAGCAAAGACAGAGACAAAATCAGGAGTCCTCTGCGCCAGTCAAGCCAAGTGCTGAACCAATGGGCCTCATGACATCTACAGTGAAGGGCACTGAAACCTGTGTTAATAATAAGGGTATACCTGGGTGGCACCAGTTCAAGGCACTTTTTGGGGGACGGGTCAGAAACCATGCTTTACACTCTGGATTCGGAGTGACTGCTCCAATCTTTCCATTACTTATGTCTTATTCCCCATCTTGGACAGGGTAGGAAGCAACTTTTCAGTGTTTCTTCAAATCAGATAGAAAAGTGGGAAGTACTAGAGCGTTTTGCATCTGCTCCACAGAAGCTGCAGGGAACAAGCAGGAAAGGCAGCGGGAGCAGAAACATGTTTAGATCTTAGCCACGGGCATTGACTTGGCACCTTGTGATCCAGTAGAATATAATGAGGCCAGCTTGGTGAAGATAGTGGTGAACAGTGAAAAGTAGGCAGCATTTGTAGTCAACTTCCATAAATTTCCACTCACTGCTGTCCAGAAACAAAGCCAAATCCTTTAATACTGATCCCCAGAATGCAAAGGAATCAGTTAAGGAATAAGCTGTTAAAAAGCTTAGCAGGCGATGGCATAAGAAGCCTCATGCAATTAAACTCCACACTGTGGTACGTGCTTGCCAATTAATCTGATCACGTCAGCAAGGCTTTGAGCTATATTCTTGTCCTTTAAATGTGTATGCTTTCAGGCTATGTTTTGTCATTTTCTGGGCTCTGTTTATGTGACGAGTGTGTTCAACACATAGCCTGGGACTACGTTGCCTTCTGAAGAAAGATTTTAGGGTCATCCGTCTCCCAGTGTGAAATCACCTTCAATTCTTCTCCCCCAACAGGTGCCATGTTGACAGAATAGAAGATGAAAGCTGTCCTGTCTCCCCAGCAGGCAAGAATGAGACAGGAAGCAACACCGCCAGCTCCCTGTAAGCTAAGCATGTACCCTAAAGCATCAGGCTCTGCAGTCAATGGGATCGCCTTCCGCAGATCATTAACGTCTTCTGAACATAAACGTGTCTGGAGGCAGTGGTGGTGCTGGGCAGCTGGTGCTGTTGTGTGTGGGCAGCTGTCACCTACGACATTTCTAAAGGCTAAAGCTGAGTTTATAGCAACTGGTTTAATTGGAACTGAACCTATGACCACGCCTGTTTGCACTTGTTATTCCCACTCCTGCATCCTCCATTACTAAACAAGGCCCATGTAGCAGCACTGCTTTACACAGACATAGTGCAAGGAGATGTTCGGAACTTCAAGCCAACTACAAACAACTAAGGAGGCCCAGATCCGTCCTGCAACAGCAAAGGAAGAAGAGCAATGCTCCCCTACATGTGCCCTCCTGTGCCTTGCCCAGTAATTCAAGTCCACAGCAGTTGCAGCCTTGGCTGAAGTGCTGTGCTCTAATTCACGGCATGAATTTAGGAACAAGGGTCTTTAGCTGGAATACTCACCGCCTCTGCAGGCCAAGCACAGAGGGGATGAGGAGCACATACATGCCAGTGGAGTACATTTACTTTCTTGCTTGAGAATAATCCCTAGCCCCCCAGGGAACAGAGTTAATTCCAGCTCTACTGCATTCTGTCCTAGCCCCTCCTGAGGGCCAGAAGAGGGAGAGACAGGCTCTGTAGTTAGGACTGATCAGTGCCCGAGGCTGGGGAGTTTCTCCTGGGTGTTTCTTATTACCCTTTAATTAAAGAGGAGATGTGGATCTTGCCCAGCACACCAACATCTGTAAAATCCCCTCCTGGAAGTCAATGGGTGTTTAATTAATCAATATTGCATAGTCATCACTGAACAGTTTTTCTTACCTGGACGGGCTAGGAGAACTGCTGTACGGAGGTGAAGGAGATGGTGTCCTTCCCTGGCTTTCCAAGCCTGCTGAAGTCACCAGAGAACTCCTGAGGAATGACAGAAAGAACTCAACTGTTAGAGCCTGGGAACCAACCCTGCTCACCCCCTACAAAGCACAGCAGCAGAGCTGTGTCTGCCCAGCACCCTCTGCTGAGTCTCGTAGGAGCCCTGGGGAATGCCATGCTGCCCCACATACACTCTGGTATTCAGGTGCCACATGCTGATGATCAAACTAAAACTGGTCAGAACCAGGCAGGTGATGGTCATTCCCGAAACAAAAGTTAACTCAGCAACATCATCCCTCCCATCCACCAGAACCTGAAAGTCCCTAATTCACAGTAGCTCCAGTGGCCAAGCAATTCCAGTTGCCTTGGTGCTCTTACCCACTGTACATCAGACTGTCTTGGATTGGTTTCCCTCCTGCAGCCTCAGCAGTTAAATCACCTGAGGAACAAGGAAGTACAGAAACATATTAATTCAAGATAATTTTCCTAAAAATCTTTATATATTCAGAGCAACTGAGATTTTGGGTAGAATTTCCTGCTCCTCCAAGACCTGCCGAGTTGGTTCTGAAGTCAGCATTTTGCCAAACACATGTGGGCTGAAGCTGATTCTTATACCTTCAAGTTTAAAAAAAAAAATAGGCTGAAAGGGAGCCCTTTTGGAGAGGGGCCAAAACATGACAGAATCATTTAGGGCAACAGGTACATGCCCACTCGGTGCAAGCAATCTGCTGCTTTGTGAAAAGAGAGTGGTATATGTTGCACGTAGGGCTTTGAAACATCCATGTCCTAAGCGGCAAAAATCCAGGGCAGCCAAATGAGCTGGCAGCTGGATACAGAACACAGGGGAGTTTGTGCCATTGCCAAAACATCTGAACACTGGAAATATAACTAGCACAAGACAAGTGTATACTGGTCCCATCTCTGTTCCCAGGAAAAATACAAACAACACTGCACTCTTCCTTATCATAAGGATTGCACAGCCCAGATCTTTCACAGATTCCAGTTCCACCCCTCCAAACTCCTGCTTTAGTGCAAGTAGTGCAACTGCAGAAGGAGGAACGACAGCATTTATCACTAAGTTCCAACTCAGCAAAGCATCAAACACACGGTCAAGGCTCAACAATATCCTTCTGCTGGTTAAGGACGGACTCATGCACGGACACACTCAGGCATGTGGCTGAACTGGGGCCCTGGCCTCTATGTACACATACATTTCCAAGCAATTCCTATCAAAGTATGAACACATAGAGGTGCTAAAAAGATGCCTGAAGAAAAATTCAACATCTTTTATTTTTTCTCAGGAATTTTTTTTAAGTATAAAGTTCATCTTGCTAGCTGAAATCCTGCCTTGGACTGTGATATTGAGTGAAACCAAGGACAGGATGACATGGGAATGGCTTCTGTGAGAGGAAGACATTTCCCTGTGAGTCTACTTATCTTCTTTTCCAGTTGGATTTTGAGGTTCAATCTCTTATTGAGGTCCCCAAGTAATCTTTACTCTCAAATCCTATCTTGGAAGATAATTACTAAACATCCTAAGAAACTAGCCAGTGAGACAGATGTCTCTTCCAGCTTGAGAACAAAAACATTCCTGTTATTCCTTCAAAACAGACAGGTTTAATCACTTTCAACTTTCTAGTAACTATCCTTAACATCCACATTCCCCTCTGCTCAGAATGTCTGTGTTTCCAGAAACCAGCTTACTTGAGAACTGTGCTGGGACCATAACGAAATCATCCGTGTCACAGGACGAATTCTTACTGCTGCTTCCAGCAGAGTCCTTAGATCCATGCAGAAAGCCGGGGGAATCCTGCGTAGGAGATGCCAGCGCCTTCTCCTGCAGCTGCTGCTGCATCTCTCCAAGGGACTGCTAATTCAAGAAGAAAACAAACACTGGCTTCAGCACAACTACTTCATCATTCTGCTCAATCCTTTAAACTGTGCTGTACAAGGCTACAAACAACATTTTGCTGATAAACCAGGGCTGACAGTTTGCCAGAAGCAGTTGTTTAGTTTACTGAAAAGGAACAGCCTTTTATGTCCATGTCAGAACAGCGCATCTTTTGTTACACAAAACATACTACCAGCACGCCTGATGCTCCTCAGATAAGAAAAATTCACTTGAGGTATTGCATCCTTCTGCTAAGGCTTTCTGGATCAACCAAGCATTTTCTACCAACTCAATTTAGTACAGCCACAAAACAGAGAAGAGCCTTCAGAGACGTTTTTGGTTGTTCTTTCGGGTTATCTTTTTTCAATTTGTTTTTAAACATTACACATCTGGTCTTCACTCATGCTTTTACAGAAAGCAGCACTTGGGAACGCGTCCATAAGTGTCTGTGCGCTTTTGGTTTTGCTGTAGTGCTGATAAAGAGTTAGAGAAAGGTCTGAAAGAGATTAAGCATTCAATAGCTGAACACCTCACAGCCATCGGAGGCAGGACAGACCCTAAAAAGTTCCATTTTTCCTCTCCCTTCAGCCGAACAATAGATAACCCCACAATCCTCATGTTTTACAAGCAGATGGAGGAGGCTGGATGGTTTAAGCAAGCTTTAAGACAGCTGAACTGCTCACTGAGCAGATCACAATCTTTATCCTAATGCATTTTTAGGCTAAGAAATACTTGAATCGCCTTTCACTGGGCCCTATTAAGACCTTGTTCACCCCCTGAAGACTCTCCTGCTGTACCAGTGGGGAATCTTTCCCACTGTACATGCAAGTAAATACAAGCAGAAGGAATTTTCCAGCTGTCAAAGTTCTCTCTTTTCCATCCAATCTGCTAGCTCTGCTCTGCTGTGCAGACGCAGTGTTTTTCGTGTGCCCAGCCAGCACACCTCCGTCAGCAAAACTTGGAAACGCAGAGCAGGACCAGTGCAGTACACTTCTAACACAGGACTCCCTCGAGTCTGGCACTGAGTCTGTACCATCCCTGAGTTTCCCAGAAAAGGAAAGCTCACGGGAGAGAGGCTGCTTTTCACACCATCTGCCCATTCCTGGAGTTTTATGGTCAGGAGGGTCTCAACCAACAACCCTCTCCCTAGGGCTGCAGGGGGAAAGAAACTTTTGGAGATACAATTACGCGACATTCAGAAGGGAGCAAATCTCTCCGCTCTGTTCAGCCTGTATCATGAGCACCTACATCAACTTCAGACAGCACCTCTCCATCTTTCCCACACCAGGTCCTTACTGCAGATGCAATCTGTTCCAGAAACACGGAAAGAAAGATTCAGCCATTATACTCCTTGAAGGAGGCTGAGAAGCCTTGGTCCAGGGAAACTCAGAGAAGAAAGTAAAAGAGCAGCAATTCCAGGGCAGAAAAAATTCAGTCCTCCTCCCTTCCCCTACCCATCACACCACCAGCATTCCTGAGCTCAAAGCCAAAAGGCAGCTTTCACCAAGAGCCTCCAAAAACAAGCTTTCAGTTCAGCCAGCTGGAGGAATGTCCCTTCGCCAGTCAGTTAATATTCTGCCCTCCAGAAAAGTTTTCATCGTTTCAGGTAACCAGAGAGAAAAAAACGTCAGTTCAGATCATCTCTCACAAGACCGCCAGACTGTGGCAGGCCTAGTCTGAGCAAACAGCTTTGCTGAATGTATCTCTGTGGTGCCTGGGTATGCTGGTCAGAAAGGAGGAGGTCACCTTACAAAGGAATGGAGATACGCTGTCAAGCTGCAGAGACTTTGCTTGAAAATAGAGAACTTACAGGCAAGTAAGCAGTGCTATGTCCTGGATTAGCGACTGTTTTTTGGTTGCAAGGAGCCTTCCATCTCTACCAAGACAAGCTAGTGTCAATAATGCCAACTTCTTTCATAAAGGCTCTTCATATAATAGGCAATGTTAAACTGAAATATTTCTTGTGGAGAGAAAGACAGTCCTCAGGATCCGAACTCTAAACAGACTGGAGGAGACATGAACCAAATCCAGGCAGAACTAAAGTGTTCAGTGACTTGTACCAGAAGACAGGAAAAGCAGAGACCTTGTTTCAAAGAAGCAAGCAAGGAGACTGACCATTAACACAAGCAGTCCATCTTCTGAGCTGTACTTACGGGAGGTGATGCCAGGTGGGAAGTAGAAGAGCTGCTGGAGGAACTACCGGAGCCTGAACTGGGATAGGAAGGCATTGGCACGGAAGCAGCTAAAAACAGCCAAAGACAAAACCAAAAGAAGTTGTTAAACTGAGGTAAATTAATAATAAAAGGTCTTTTTCATCTTGTCCTATGGGGTTTATCTCATGTACCATAATGTAGCTCATGTATCAGATGTGGCCAATTAAAGGAGAACAAAAGAAAAATTAGCGTTCTATTCAGTTATATGATTCACATCCATCCACTCCTCTGTGCAATATTTCACAGTTACAGCTTTTGAGGTGGAGGGTCTCAAAACATCTGATCAAGGCCAGATGTCCACTTGACAGCTGACCTACACAGCTAGCAAGATGGTTTCTGCCCTAAAGAGCCTCCAAACCACCTTTGCAAACGAAGGGAAAAATAAACAGAAAAGGGGATCGAGTTTCTCATGTCAGTGGCAGAGGTTAGGAGACAGACCATATCCTTACAGTTTCTTCTTCATCAGACCTTGCAGCTTAGCACACACTCATCAAATGCTGGGAGATCTGTGCTAAGTTAAACAAGTGTCTACTCAAGCCCTATGTGCTTGCTGCCCAAACAGTCACCTGGGCATCCCAGGCCATATACTATTAAAGAAACCCTGCAGAATTAATCATTCCACAAGGAAATAGTTCATTGCTTCCTATACCTCAACACGTTCTCCCTTGGTCACTTGTGCAAGTTAAAGAGGTTCTGCTTATTTAATCTCTTTGTACAGAAACTGTTCCACAGCACTGGCTGTTCTTACATCCCATCTGTTTGTGTTTTATTGTTCAATATCAGAACTGTCCATTTTATTCACTTCATTGTTGAACTGGATTTTGTAACCCTCACAAAGGCATAAAGCTCACACTGAAAGGGCTGGTTAGCATTGACCTTCAGGCAGAAAAATATAATTAGGGCAATACAGCAGAAAATAATAGTTAAATTCAATGATTTATGCAAGTGAGGTTCAGTGAATAACTTACAAGAGCTCAGATCAGTCGAGGAGGGAGACGAGTCAAAGTAACACTGGCTCTTCAACAGACTTTGAAGCATTTAGTGGTTCCAATTCCCCAGTCCACCCGCACAAGACTGAACAGTGCAAAAGTTGCAGAAAAGTCCCAACATACCCACTTCAAGGCAGCTTAAAGTCAGATTTTACTCTGCAACCATTTTGGTATTTGAATGACTTAGAATAGATATCTGAAGCACTGCCTAAGTGAGGAGAGGAACGCTTTGCTTTGCTTCTCTTCCATTGTGCTGGCAGAGAATTCGCACCTTGTATCAGATTTCTGCCTTTACAGGATCTGTGCTAATGACTCCACGCTTAATACAAAGAGAGTTAATAACAAGAAGAAGAAGAAGAAGAATGCTTCTGCTTGAAGTAAAACCGCCTCTCTCATTAATCACATTGGATACTACAAAGTACTTACTCTATTCAACCAGCTAGAAAAATAAAAGTACATCTCTGCAATTAACTGTTGAAACAGTGTTCTAATTATAAAAGAATGGGAAAATATGCCTTTTAATAAAAGTCTTTCCATGTAGCCTATCAAAGAAGGTTAAAGCATGACTAGACCAGTGTCTCCCAGCACAAAGAGAGCAATCACTTAGATACTGAATTCCTCCATCTGCCAGAGCTGTAACAAGATCCATCAACAGGGAAACGAAGCCGAAGAAGCGTAGACTTCAAATATATGTTTCAACATAAGTAATCAACCACCGTAACAGTTTAACCAGGGTCACAGTGATCTCCTGCACCTTTTGTTAACATTTACAAAACCTGGAAGTTTTTCTAGAGAGGTTAAGTTATTCTGCAAACAGAGATTGATTCCGCAGAGTCCCGAGGCTTGTGCCACAGGAAGCCACAGCGAGATGGTTGCGTGGAGCTGGGGCACAGCGACACTCTCACACACGGACACTTTCCCCCCTTGCACTGGACCATACTGGCTACATTCACTCTGCCTTTTGTGAGTGAGGTTCATAACGAAATGAGCCTCCCATAAAGCTTTGGAAAGATTATTTTTCAGCCTCCACATCTATTCTACACTTGATTTTGCACCCTCGATGGACCATGCTGTTAAAACACACTGCCCTGGCTCCAGTGAAGGAACTGGGACCACAGTACCCTGAAGACGGGTATTCTGGGAGGTCGGTCAGG